TTGAACTATATTAGAAAAGCATATGGGTTTCCACTATTGTGTGTGTGTATATATATATATATATATATATATATATATATATATATATATATATATATATATATATATATATATATATATATATATATATATGGGGTCAAATTGTATCCAGGTTGGATTTCCATTTGGAAGGTTATGAGTTCGAGCTTTAATGGAGGCGTTATTGGTTCATTGTGTTTTAGTAGGTTGAGAAAGTATATGAACAGATACTACATTGTAATAGAGCCAGTAGCATTCAAAAAATATATATAACCATGCATCCAGGTTATACCCCTAGTTTATGTCCATGTTTTCCGTTAATTTTTTTTGTACCTTGTGCTATAAAAGCTGTACTACATAATTTTTTGGACAAAAATATCCCTGCCATTATAACTTCTGTTATCTTTCCACATTATTATTACCATGTACATGCATACACAATATTTTTTCTTACATCCTTCAATGGTAAGTTTGAATTCATTTAGGTTTTAATTAAAATGTTACCATAATTATATTTAGTAAATTATCATTTCTATAATTCTTACCTCAATAATATTAATATAATTATACAATTATATATATATATATATATATATATATATATATATATATATATATATATATATATATATACACACACACACACACACTATTATTTTTAAAAAATTAATATAATTAAGATTTTAATATTTAATTTTAATATTGGGCATATATTTTTTGCGCATCGCGCATATAAAATACTAGTATATATATATATATATATATATATATATATATATAATCCAACATCTTGTAACCTTAGATGACCATGCGAACAAGCTAAAACTTTGTCAAATTGTAACCTTAGGTCCTAGTGTTAATTAGTTCTAACTCTCCTATATATACGTGTATTGGTCATAAAGTTTTTATACTTTTTCTAGAAAAAAAAAAATATCTCTCCGTTTGTTCTCTACGAACCAAAAAGATATTAAAGCCTTTTAATCATTTCTCTTGAAAATTAATGTTTCGTCTACTGAAAATAGTATATTTGAGTGCTTGAATATAGTGTTGTAATGCATTATATCTTAAGAGAAACTGACTCTTCAATACTCTTGACACTACCGAGAAGGAGTGAATCAATTTCATAAAAAGTGTGAGTGTCACATGCCTTGAATTAACCACAAATTTACCATGATGTGAATTAAAAATTTTATGATTTCAACTTTTTGTGAAAATTAAAATTATTCCATAAGTCCAAGAGTTTGAGTGAAAAAACAGCCAGGAGATCATTCCATAGAACATTATAAACATATTTTCATATTTGATTTGTACTCAATAAAGAAGATGGTTATAAATATATTTTCATATTTGATTTGTACTCAATAAAGATGATGGTTTATCATGAATGGCAAGTGTTAGGCTATCCTTATGGTGGCCTTTGCAAGATGACTTGAAATGTCAAAATGGATTTTTCTTTTGGGTTATGTTTAGGTGTTAGTTATGCAAGATTGCAAAGTACAAAAAATGCTGTCACATGGCAACATAGGACAATCATTTTTTACTTTTTTTATAAAAAAAATTGTTATTTTATTGTATTGTGATGTGAAATTGAGACTACTTTTAGAAGTGAGAGAGTATTGCAGGAATGTAATGAAAATAGTGAAGGAATTACAAATCTAATCCACTTTCAAAAGTAGACCCATGTTCACATCACTTTAAAATATATATATATATATATATATTTTAAAAAAAGTACCAAATAACATCATTCACAACAAAAGTTGTCATTAGCAAGCTTGCTAACCAAGGTGGCATTTAAAAGCACCATCATTTGTGGCAAATTATGTTGTGCATCCGTATGGTGCATACGAATGCAAAAACGACGTCGTTTTATTAAAAACTCGCGTCTCCCCTTTAAAAAAATTCAGGTTCAATTCCCAGTAACAACATATGAACTAAAATTCCAGAATCGATGAACTATATTACCATAATCGATGAACTATAATTTCATAATCGATGAACTAAAATTCCAGAATCTAACCTATGAACTAAAAATTTCAGAATGAATGAATTAAAATTCCAGAATCTATGAACTAAAATTTCAGAATCGATGAACTACAATTCCAGAATCGATGAACTATAATTCCAGAATCAATGAACTAAAATTTCATAATCTATGAACTAAAATTCCAGAATGAATGAACAACATAATGTTGTTGCTGGGAATCGAACCTGATTTTTTTTTAAGGTGAGACGCGCGTTTTTAATAAAACGACGTCGTTTTTTGCATCCGTATGCACCATGCATGGTGCATACGGATGCGCAGCATAACTACTCATCATTTGTGATTTTTAAGAGTTTTTTGTGGGCCAAACATAATGTGGAGGAAAGAGAATATATGAGAGAAAAATTTAAGTACCTCTTATAAAAAATGATTTTTGGTGAGATCCACACAAAAAAATAAAAAATAAATCTAACCTATCCAGATGCGCCCAGTCGCGTCCGCTGGACATGTAAACCTTTTTTTTTACACTTAATTTCTCTTCTTCTTTTTTTCTTTACTTTCTACCTCTTACATGATATGAAAAAAAAAAAAAAAAAAATGAACTAATGAGGTTGTCCTAAAAAGATGAAAAATTTACTCTTTTTATTTGTTTTCCATCTCATCTAGCGAGTGAGCAACTTGCTAGGATGAGGAGAAAGCCTTAAGCAAAGGCCTTTTAGCCATCTTTCTAATGGTAATTGCTTTTGAAACTAATGGTAATAGCTAGCTTTTTTTTTAATTTACTTTACACTTAAAAAAAAAAAAAGAATAAGGTTGAAATTGGCCACTGAACGTAACTTAAAAATGCAATTAAGTCACTGAACAAAAAAAAAGTACAATTAGATCACTGGACACTCTAAATCTATGCAATTTCACCTGATAGCAGGTTACCATCAATTTTAGCAGGTCACCTGCTTACGTGGCAGCTGAGTTGGCATTTTAAAATAAATTTTAATAATAAATTTAAAAAAAAATAAATAAAAAATAATAATAAAACGAAGGGTGGCCGCCGAGGATTTTTTTTATATAATATTTTTAAAAAATTTATTAAAAATTATTCAAAATGCAAACTTAGCTGCCACGTAAGCAGGTAACCTGCTAAAATTGATGGTAACCTGCTATCTAGTGAAATTGCATACATTTGGAGTGTTCAATGGCCTAATTGCACGTTTTTGGAATGTTTAGTGGCCTGATTGCACTTTGTTGTTTCGTTCAGTGACATAATTGCATCTTCAGGTTACGTTCAATGGCCAATTTGAACCTTATTCTAAAAAAAAAAGGGGTCAAATAGGCCATCCAATTACACACCAAAGTGCAATTAGGCCATCAAATTAAAAAAAAAAAATGCAATTGATTCCCTGAATAACACAAAATCATACAATTAGATCCAAAATGACCTGTTTATCTGAAATTGTGCTGACGTGATTGTTACCGATTTTAAAAATAATTTTAAATAAAATAATTATATATAATTATTTTTTTAAAAAAAATAGAACTGCTGGCAAGCTTCGTCTCCGAGACGAAGATTCATCTCCCTGGCCATGAAAACGAAGGTCTCTTCATCTCCATGGTCGTAGTCTCGTAGACAAAGGGATGGTCTACGACCATGGAGACGAAGCCTGCCGAAGACGAATCGTTTCCGGCAGTTCTAGTTTTTTTTTTTATTTAATTATTTTTAAAATCGGTAACCGTAATTTCAAGTAAACATGTCATTTTAGACTTAATTGTATGATTTTGTGTTGTTCAGGGACTCAATTGCATCTTTTTTTAATTTGATGACCTAATTGCACTTTGGTGTGAAGGGGTGGCCTATTTGACCTTTATTCCCAAAAAAAAAAAAAAAAAAAAAAAGTTCTCTTTTCCATTGTTTTCTTTCTTCTCGACAACCGCAGAAGCAGGAATAGAGGCAAAAAGAAGGCTATTTTCAGCTATTTCTTGTTCAAAAACTTATTATTAAGTGAAGAAAAAAAGGCCTAACATTCTTGGATACTGTTTCTCTATTCTTCAATTCGTCCACGTTATGCTTAGCTCATATGGAAAAGACTGAAATGTGAAAATGAATGTATCTATTTCTCAAAATGTGAAGGTTTATTTTTGTGGACAAAAATATGAAAAACTAGTTTGGGACTTGCGTTTTTTGTCAGAAGTGGTCAAATCAAAAACGCAAGTCACACTTGCGTTTGTGTTAAAAAAAAAAAAAAAAAAAAAAAAAAAAAAAAAAAATTGTTGCCGGCGAACTGCCGGCAACAACCTTCTCCAGCGAAGGAGAAGGCAACCAGTGGCAGTGCCGGTGGCCTTCTCCTTCGCTGGAGAAGCCTTCTCCAGCGAAGGAGAAGGCCACCGCCACTGGTTTCCTTCTCCTTCACTGGAGAAACCGGCGACCCAAATCGCTGGCTTCTCTAGCGAAGGAGAAGGCAACCAGTGGCGGTGGCGGTGGCCTTCTCCTTCGCTGGAGAAGCCTTCTCCAGCGAAGGAGAAGGCCACCGGCACCGCCACTGGTTGCCTTCTCCTTCGCTGGAGAAACCAGCGACCCAGGTCGCTGGTTTCTCCAGCGAAGGAGAAGGTTGCTGCCGGCAGTTCGCCGGCAACCATTTTTTTTTTTTTTTTTTTTTTTTAACACAAACGCAAGTGGGACTTGCGTTTTTGATTTGACCACTTCTGACAAAAAACGCAAGTCCCAAACTAGTTTTTCATATTTTTGTCCACAAAAATAAACCTTCACATTTTGAGAAATAGATACATTTATTTTCACATTTCAGTCTTTTTTCCTAACTCATATATGTAGCAAAAATCTTGTTTATCAAACTCTTTACCATTTTCCTTAGCTAAGCATGAATTCGCATTTGAGTGAATCCTCGTCTATATTATGTCCCCACGGTTAAATATAACACCTCCACAATATGAATAGTGAACCTCAACCGATTAAAAAAAAAATAAAAATTGTGCACATAGTATTTTCCAAAAAAATATATTGGCAAAAATAAAACAAAAATTCAAAATCTCATACAAAAATCCCTAATTGTTTGGCCAAATTAAATACAACAATGAAAGAGCAATGAACAAAAGTTGTGGTGTTGCGAAAGATCTGAGTGCGTGAGCTCCAGATCTGTCATAACCAATATATGTAGGGATTTGAATACCAGCGTCTACCTTCTCCGCAGTCAAAATCTCCACCGGGAAGTAACAAGTACCCATGGAAGGATCGCGAGTAGTTAGTGCACCCAAGCCTGCAAAATCGCAGCCCCCGTTCTTTTGATCTTGGTTGCTGGTCTGATAGAACATGTTGAAAGCGAAAGAGACGTTGGACTTGAGGTCCAGTTGACTGCAGGAAGAATAGGGAGACAGAGATGAGCAGTCGGAGAGGGTGCAGGCGTACTGAAATTGCTCCTCCACTTTGGTCATGTTGGAGGTGTCGCCGTTGAATACGCACCACCGCGACGGCATCTTCAGGGAGCCTTGGGCCAATACCGGGAACATGAGGCGGCCTTTTCCGGTGAAGTCGATTGCGAACTTGGGCGTGCCGTCGAAGTTGTAGATCCCTCGGTGACGGTACGACGGTCCCAATTGCAGCGGAACTTTGTTCTCATCCGTCAACGAAGAGAGGAAGACGTCGATGTTCCACTTGGGACGGCGAGGAGTCCCTTTCTTCTCCGATATGTGCTTCAGAAAACCGCGGTAAAACCGTTCCGCATTCTCCGGAGTCGCGTACTTCCCGCCGTCCGTCGGCCATCCGATCTCCCCGATCACGATCTCCATATCAGGATACCCTGCTTTCTCGAGCGTGACGACGAGGCAATCGAAGAGGAATTCGAACGCGTTTCTGTAAGTGTATTTGCCGTCGACGATGGTGAAGGTGGAGTTGTTATCCATGAAAGCGAATTCGATCGGCCATTTGTTGACCATGAGGGAGAAGATGGGGACCATATTGTACATGAAGAAGGAATTGGTCTTCTTAAACAACCTTAGGGATTCGAGCATCTTGTCCTTGATGTCGTCGCGGAAATCGGCCTGCGATGGCTTGCTTACATTCTTCAATACGTCGCTGGAATGCGTGGTTGTGGTTCTGATGTGCGTAAGGTTACATCTATGCAGATTACTCACAGTTTCCTGGAAAACGTCAGTCATATTCAATACTGGGGTACGGTAAAGCGATAATGGTTCTTCCAGAATAATCAATGTCCTGCAAAAAACATGAATCATTTGAAATGAGATAATATAATCAACGAAACTTTCCTCTTCTTCTTCTTCGATTATAGAATGAATATTCAATTCCAGATTGTAGGTAGACTTACTGGATGTGGACTCCTCTTTGTACAGGCTCCAGAAGAAGTTCTTCCACCCATTGGCTAACGTTTTTTATATTACTCAACCATTTGTCGCGTCTGATGAAATCGTTCTGCAAGGCCACGGTGATGCCAATATTGGAACTCTGCAAGGCCTCCAGGACGTTGGGAGATGGCGCCGACAGTTTGATCTCCTTTATCCCATTTTGCAGAAGCAAATCCACCACCACTGATGGCACCAAGCTCTGCGATGCATATCTGCCCCACTGAATGCCGATAAACCCATCTACACTATAAGCTCCCAACAACAACAACAAGAAAACCGCCACCCAATTCCACCTCCGCTCCATTTTTAAGGTTTGTTTTGGATTTTGATGGCAGCGGAAGCTAGTGTGACCAGAATTTTGGCTGCTATATAATGTATATCAGTACATGTATTTCGTTGGTTGGGTGGGAACTGGGGATGAAGAAAGGAAGAGATGGAGTTTTTCGAAAGAAGGGCAAACAGTAATCCTGTTTGTAACAGTGTGTAGATTGTGAAATGTGGTCTGTTCCCGCTTTCTTTAAGTATTCCCATGTTTGTAAACGAGAGTAAAAGATGGGAATTTCGCGGTGGGAATTTGGGAAACCAAGAATTCACCGTAGATACATACCACTACTAATTTTTCAAGTATTTACTTATTGGCTATTTTTATATACAAAATAGAAACCATATATTAATTACATTTTTTTATGCTAAGTACAGTAAACGCGACCAAGAAGACCTTATGATACACCCACTCAATCACCCCATTCAGGATTTTTTTTTTTTTTAATATTCTGGACCCATGAACACACTACCAAGCTTATAAGGAGGTAAATCGAACCAATCTGGCTTCAAGAGTAGACACCAAACTGAAATTTTGCGCATAAAGAGCCCAACCCAAACGCGAACACCCAATTTGAAATGACTGTTTAGGCAATTTACAATTTAATTAATCCAAATCCTCATTAAAAATGACAATAAAAATGAGTAACTCAAATAAAAATGAATAATGTTACTCAACATAAATTTGTGACATCACATCCTAAATAACTTCCTGATAAAGTCAAAGAATCACTAGTCATTGAGAATTTGAGATCATAAATCTTATGATAAAAAATTGGCAAACCAGTTCGATTTGTTCTCAAATTACCAAAACACAATAGTACAATACTGCAAGTATTTACACCAGAATTAGAAGAATCCAAGTAAAAGTGTAAAACAGAGACAGATTTATATGCAGACACATTAATATTGTTGTCGAAGTTTGTCAGACAATTTATAGTCTAAAATGACTTCACCAATCCAGTGTCTAGAATGTTACAATTTCAATCTTAGTGCTAAATGACAAGAGTACTAAACGCCCATGCCTGAAGGAAATGCCAGACATGGCACTTGATTCTATACCTCGGGTGATGAAACCATCCTGGATCATTGGGTTATAAAATGCATTCTGTGAGTAAAGGAAAGTGTAGGAATGCAAATAAAATGGGAGAGAGGAGTAATAAGATTTGAAATCGCTGAATTCTTTGTTTCAAATCATTCTTTTTGAATAAATATAATGAATGCACATCATACAATTTTGACTAGAAAAGCAAATATAGCTTACCGGGAGTTGTTGCCAAGGTGGCAGAGTCCTCAGGTGTGCAAATAATTCGCAGCCATCATTAATTCCAGAGTGAGCTCGGGCTCTATGTGGAACTCAGTCTCCTTCCCCCTGTAATTAATGAAAAATTTTCAGCAACGCCTATACAGTATTACAGTACCAACTCCAAGTAAAATAAGTCATCAAATGATGGAGTAAATTTACAGGAATAATTGAACTAGTTCCATGGGGCAGAGTTAGTTAATAATGCTAATTTTGTCAATTTGTCCCGCACTCATCCATGCACTTTGAAATGATAAGAGGGAAACAAGTAAAGTATGTTAAATAACAAAAAAAAAAAAAAAAAAAAAAAAAAAAGAGTAATGCAGTATGCACTGTCTATGAAGATATGGAGTAAATAGAAAACTGCATTATCTACAAAGATGACAAGGAAAAATCTAGGTGGAATAATCAAACAATTGCCCTTTCAGTATAGTCAGTGCCTCAGTGGTATCTAAATGAAAAGCTCATCCAAAGTGATTTTCCTTTGATTAAGATATAATTTTCAACTAGGTGCAGGGACCAGCCTACTCAACATGGATAAATCTCTCCTAAGAGCAGTAAACTTAATCTGAAAACCTCATTGCAGCATGCTTTGGACAAGTGCACAAAGCTCCAAACCATGGAGTTTGTTGCAAAAGAAAATTTTAACGTCTCTTTGTTTTCAATAAAGTTGTAGTTAGGCAATTGAATTCATGACCTTAGCATTAGCTATCAAGTTGTCAACACATCAAAGCTGTAACAATATTCCAATCCCAACATATCATTTATGCACCAGTACAAGTAGAACTAGTGAAGACAGCCAATTTTGGTTATCCTTCATACCAAATGGAAGGTAATCTAACCGATGGCAGTGTTCATCCATATAATATATTCTGTAAACTAATTTTCCTAATCTGCAATAGGTATTAATTTTCCTAATATATTCTGACTGCTCATAAGCTAAAGGAACTCAAAGGCTTGTTATATTCATATTGCAGGCATAAAATAGCATAGGTACCAATATAGTATTGCAATCACAAACGCCACCTCAAAAATAGAGCAATCATTGAACAGAAATGTAGATATACAACAAGACCTTGCGTATTGAAGGGACCAGTAGAAGTACTGGCAGATCTTCTCGAGAATGGTGGTGCTAATCTCCGGAAAAGTCACTTCCCGGTGCTCCGTCTCGGCGAAACCCCCTACGACAACACACAATTCAACCAAATCAGAACCAGTAACTAAAAATTCAGAAAGAAATCGAATAAGACTGAAATTCCTTATGACACAATAGAGGATTGAAAGAATTAAAGTCAAAATCGATTCAGAACATTCAAACGGAGCAGACGAAGAATCGAACCTGGAGAAGTGAGCATGTTCCGGATGGTCTGAGAAACCATAGCAGCCTCCTTGTCAATCACGAATTCGAAGCCCTCGGCGCTGATTAGCTTGACTGTATCTTCCTTCTTCATCTCCGTCCGCCGCAGCTTTTGCTCCACAGAGATTGAGTCAATGAATTTCGATCACCGCTTGCGAACCAAGATCAGAAAAGCAGTGTAGAATCGAAGCTTAATCGGGTAAAACGATTTGTGCTCCAGTCTCGCACTCTCGCTTGTCAAGGCCGGTGTGAGGTGTATGGGTCATCGGGTCGGTTCATTACTAGTGGGCTTTAATTGTTTTCTCGTGGATTATCTAACAATATTTATCATCCACTTTCTTCACTGATTCGGCCTACTTTCTTATAATCGAGACAAATTATACTGTGAATCAAGTTCGACATTGCAACGTGAACTATAAATAAAAATTTATTTTTAATATATTAAGGCCTTGTTTGAAAATCAGCGGTTAGCGATTAGCGTTAGCGGTTAGCAAATAGCAAATTATATTAGCGGGTTTGACCAGCGGATTGTATCAGTGATTTGTAAAAAAGATATTTGGTAAAATTAGCGGTTTAGATTAGCGGTTAACATGTAAAATGACCAAAAGGGTATACATATAATAATAATAATAATAACAATAACAATAATAATAATAATAATAATAATAACAATAACAATAACAATAACAATAACAATAACAATAACTGATGGGGTGAGGACCCCGGCCCAAGAAGGCAGGCCCAAGAGAAGAGGCCCAGGATGGAGAAGAGCTCAGAAGGGGTAAGTAACGACCCAAAAAGTGAGAATAAAGGTCAGTAATAAAACCCAGAAGAGGCCTGGGCCGAGCCTAAGAGTCGGCCCAGGCCCAGGCTAAGGAGGAGACTCGGCTTAGAGCCGTTGAGAAGCATTCATTGCAGCATTCAAAGGGCTCGCCTAAGCGAGCCGTTAGGAAATCCCAAGGAGCCGTTGGCCGACCCGGTAACGGCACCCAACGGCCCCAAGGTATAATTAGCCTTGAAGGCGGCCTTCAATGAACATTAACTCGGCTGAAGGAAGGGTCTGCTATATAAAGGCCCCTCCACCCTTGTAAACTGGACGAGTCCATGCCTAGAGAATAGAGAGAGACGTTCACTACTACTTCTTGTTATATTCTATTTTTAGTAGCTTTGTTGAAAGGTGTATCCACCAACTAAGGTTGTGTTAGACCTCCCTAGGCCCCAAAACCCAAAAACCAACACTGGCGCCGTCCGTGGGGATCGAAACAAAGAGCCGCGTGCTTTTCTGAGCAGAACGAGTGCACAGGACAAACAAGGATATCGCAGAGGGAAAAGAGCTTCGCAGCATGTCGGAAGGACGGAGCCAGGCGAATAACCGCAATAATGCTCCAGAAGTCGACCTGAGAGAGCAATTGAATCAGCGAAACGCCCAAAGTCAAGAGTAGAGCTGTCAAAACGGGTCCAACCCGTTGGGTTGGGCCCGTTTAACCCGTATTTTACACGGGCTGGGTTGGAGGATTTCCAGCCCGTCCCGTTTCCAACCCGTCCCGTGTAACCCGTGGGGGATACGGGTTATACGGGTTGGCCCGTGGGTTACACGGGCCGGCCCGTATAACCCGTATCCCCACCCACCCCACTTCCAAATGTATTGTATAATTGGGTATTTTATTAATATTTAAAAAGATTGTTGCTAACAAGACTTGAACTTTTGACCTTTTACTTAAGTTATCAAATTATTACTATTAAAACCAATTACACTAAGAACACATGTTAAATATTTAATATAATTATATATCTATTTACATCATTCACAAGCATTACTAAATATATATCTATATATCTATATTAATTAATACAATTAATTGTATCGTAATATAAATAGTAATTTAAAGTTTATTTATTATATAAACTACATAAAGTAATAAATTATATATTTTATAAACTTTATAACTTAATAGTATATATTTTAATTACAAATAAAAAATATTACATGTAAAATATATTAGTATTAAATATAAATTAAATAAATTATAATTACATATTAAAAACTAAAGGGTGAAGTGCCAAATAGCACCATGAACCAATAACGAAATGTCATGCCGCACCCTAATCTTACATAAGTGATTATTTGATTCACAAACCAAAAAAAAATTATTCGCCTAGCTTTTTTTACAGGTAACCTTCAAGTTATAGGTAATAACTTGGTGATGTGGAGGTGATTTGGCAGACACGTGTTTTGTTTTGTATATGTGGCAGCCATTTCAACAGTTTAATTTAAATCATATTCCGGACAACGATGCAGCCGACGTGGCTGGTAGCCCGACGACGAGGACGGTGGTGTTCTGCGCCCAGGGATAGCGAATTCGCACATTGGGCCCCCCCACTGGTAGTCCTCCTCCTCAGCGTCTGCATTCTGAGTGTGTATGTTATTCTGCACCATACCAGCCAGAACTTCTGGTTCTTGTTCATCTTCCTGGGTAAAAAAAAAAAACTCTCATTTTCAATACTATCTTACCAGCTAAAACCTTCCTTCATTTTTCTCTCAACACATATTCTCCAATCCCAAAATGGCGACCTCTACGCTCAATCCAAACGCTCCGATCTTCGTGTCGTCGTCGTATCGCGCGGTGGAGGACTTCTCCGACCAGTGGTGGGACCTCATCCGCTCCTCTCCCTGGTTCCGCGACTATTGGCTCTGTGAGTGCTACGCCAATGTGGACTCCTCCTTCCCTGCCTTGGACGATTTCGACTTCGACATCGATTTCTCCGGCTTCGGCTCCGATCCTTTCGCCGACGGAACCGTCCGCGACTCCGGTAACATCACATTAACGGAACCGTCCTCTCCCTGGTGATTGTAGGAGCCTTGAAGTGGCAGAAACCGCGAACTGCGGCGGAGATTCCCAAGTACGGTCAGAAGGCGCCGAAGATCGTGAATGTGAAGGTGAGCCCCAGGCCGATTCAGCAGCCGCGGTAAAGCGGACCCTTTGCTTGACACACTGAGTTAGGTCATAAATAAGCCAAATTAGTAAGAAATGTTAAAATAGCTTCCACATCAGATTATAACCGGAGCCATGTCACCAAGGCAACAAAGAAACCTGTAAAAAAAGCTAGGCGAATAATTTTTTTTGGTTTGTGAATCAAATAATCATTTATGTAAGATTAGGGTGCGGCATGACATTTCGTTTAGGGCTGGGCACTTCGGGTTTCGGTTCGATTTTTTTCGGTTTCGGTTTTTCGGTTTTAAAAAAATTAAACCATTCGGTTTAAAATATAGTTCGGTTTCGGTTTCGGTTTCGGTTTGAAAAGTTCGGTTCGGTTTAGGTGAAAGTCTACTATTTGAACGTTTCTTTTTTTGCCTGACCGGTTATTCAGTTGGCTCACTTGAAGTGCCACTTGAAGTATTTTGTTGATGACAAAATGAAAAATCATTCATCTATAGTTAATATTTGAAAAATAAAAATTACTAAAACACCAAATGTTTGGACTTACAACTTGGAGTTGAGATTTGAGGACTTGAGGAGTTAAAATTATTAATTGTTATAATATTTATATACATAGAAATTTAATTAAAATATAATCAACAATTAAAGTAATTATATAATGATTTTAATAAAATGATAATTAAAGAATAGGAAACAGGTATCATAGTTAATTATATATATATATATATATATATATATATATATATATATATATATATATATATATATATGTGTGTGTGTGTGTGTGTGTGTGTGTGTGTGTGTGTGTGTGTGTGTGTGTGTGTGTGTGTGTGTGTGTGTGTGTGTGTGTGTGTGTGTGTGTGATAATAATGATAGAATTATGAAACTTTAGAATTAAATAGCAACGGTGTAATAACGGTATAATGGTATTTTAGTCTAACAAGAATGTAGTACGGATAATTTTATTCATTACATTTGAAGTGTGCAATATTTAATGAAAAATGTATACCCTTATTAGCATACAAATGTGAATATAGACATGAATGTGGGTATAGCTTAGTGGGTAAAGCTCTTAGTTTATAATCAAATGAGTAAGGGTTCAATCCTCACCTTAAACATTTAATATAATATATATCTATTAATTAATATTTAAAAAAAAAAAAAAACAGAAAACGGATCGGTTTCACCTAAACTAGGACCGATCGGTCTTTCGGGTAGAAACCGAACCGATTTGGTTTGGTTTGGTTCGAATTGGATCGGATAACCCGAATCGATTTGCCCAGCCCTAATTTCGTTATTGGTTCATGGTGCTATTTGGCACTTCACCCAAAACTAAAATCTAATTTTTTATGTATTTGTCATATGTGTATAGGCCGGGCTGGCCCGTTTTGACAGCTCTAGTCAAGAAAATGAGTCGGCACACTTGAACTGGCCGCCAGCCCTGATGCCGTTCACTCCCGAACAAATCCGAGCCCTCGGGCGGGCTATCGCCGCAGAAAATCGAGGAATGGGAGAACGATCGGCCTCACGGCCGCCGCCCCACAATCAACAACCGCCCCAAAGATCCAGGGAAGGCAGGCAAGGAGATCGACGAGCGGAGAGTGTACCAGTACGATCAGTCCATTCCAGGCTCAGACCAGATACCGCGCGCCGATCCGTGAGAGAACGACTGGGAGAGAGAGAGCTCAGTCGCGTACCGGTGGGACCACAAAATCGGGAGGCTGTCCGAGAAAGAGCTCGTACTAGAAGAACTAGGACTCGGGCGCGACGGTCCAAGCCGCCATGACGTAACAATGACCAACCGGCTGAATCAGAGGCCGGCGAAAGCACAGAATCCACCAGGAATCACACGCAAAATGACGAGGATGTGGCTCAACTGGCCCGAGAGGTGCGAAATCTGAAGGAGCAAATGGAAGGAAGGACCAAATCCCCTGGGCGAACGTTGCTCACCGCTTTGCCTTTTTCCTCCAAGATCATGTCTTACAAAGTACCCGGCGACTTCAAGTTCCCAGAACAGGCCACCTTTGACGGATCCGGTGATCCGCGAGAGCACCTTTTGAGTTATCAGGCTAAGATGCAGGTACTAGGGGTCTGGGATCCTGTCATGTGTAGCGATTTCCTACCGACACTAAAAGGACCGGCGCAAAGATGGTTGGTAGCTCTGCCCCCAGGATCGATACGCAACTTTGAAGAGCTGGCCGACCGCTTCATGAGTCACTACGCGGCTAACATCAAGCCACAAAAGGATCTGACCCATCTGGGGGACGTTCATCAAGAGGAGGGTGAATCCCTTAAAACCACTTGGCCTGGTGGCAAAAGGAAATCCAGTCTAT